TTTAAAACTTTTTAAAAGTATTTTTTTAGTTGTAGTTGACACAATACCTTTATTTTATTTATTTTTATGGGGGTGCTGAGGATTGAACCCAGGGCTTCGCACGTGATAGGCGAGTGCTCTACTGCTGAGCCACAACCCCAGCCCTTAAAAATTTTTTATACCTTTATTTTTATTTGGTGCTGAGGATCAAACCCAGAGCCTTGCACATGCTAGGCGAGCGCTCTGCCACTGAGCCACAACCCCAGCCCTAACTTTCGTCTTTTTGATAATAGTCATTTTGACAGTTACAAGGTGGTATCTTGTGGTTTTGATTTGCATTGCCCAAGGATCAGTGATGCTGAGCATCTTTTCATATACCCGTTGGCCATCTGTATGTCTTCTTTTGAAAATGTCTGCTTGGGTCCTTTTGTGAATTTCTTAATTGGGTTATTTGTTTTCCTGCAATTGGGTTGTTTGTGTTTTGTGCCTGCTTTAGAGGTGAACCCTTTATCGGAGGCATGGTTTGCAAATGTTTTCTCTCTCAAGGAAGGCACATTATTTCATTCATGTCATAATGACTAAACCTGGATTTGCACCAGGCTCTGAAATTAGTCCTGAGATCCATCATTGAACAGAGCAGACAAAAGAARTTCCAGGACTTGTAGAGTCAGCCTGTAAATAATAAATGTGAAAAGTGASAAAATTATACACTGTGCTAAGAGGTGCTGCACTGAGCACAGACTGTAAGGAGCGAGGGTGGAAACAGGGCGAGAGGAACTAGCTGCTGCGATCGTCTGGGCAGAGACAAGATGGCCCAGGAGGCAGCCGCTGAGGCCTGCTCCCTGCAAAAGGGGCATCCACAGGGACCATTTATGATTTCTGATGGGAAACCAGCTCAGCCAGGCTGACGATCCGCACCCTCCTCTGCGCAGGGACTCAAATTCTCAATGCCTAGACGCGAGCTCTTTGTCCAAACCTGAACGATCTTGATCTCCACCTATCTGCAGCCACACTGCCCTGGTGAGACCTGTCTCTTCAAAGTCRGAACATGCAGGACTYCCCTCCTGTCTGCCTCCGAACTTGRTTCATCTCTGCTCTGGCTGGTGTCTGTCCATGGCCCGTGGGTCTCCCAGACCCTGCGTTCCTGGGGATGTGTTTGTCACTTCCCCTGCTCCTCGCGTCCTTCCTTCAGGTCCATAGCCCCAGGGCAGCTCCAGCGGCTGCCTACCTTCCCTGGATTCACAGCGGCAGCAGCAGCATTCAGTGTGGCTGGCAGTGCAGAGCCGGGGTTCTGAGTTTGAATCCTGATTCTGCCAACTGGTGTGAAATTGGACTCTTTCCTTAATTTCTGTGCCTCAGTTTCCCCCATCTGTGAAATGAACATGATCATACTTACCTCAAAGGATTATGATGAGGGTCAAGTTGAGTCATTACTAGAAGATGCTTAGGTAGCTGTTAGAACTCAATAAATATTAGCTCTTATGTTTATTATTTCTGCRACAAGATATTTAAAGCACCGATTACATGTATATTCCTCCCTTATATTAGGGAATAATCTGACTCAGCTGAGAGAATATAAGCCTCAACTGAGCAACCACCCCTCTGGATAAATGTCCAGGAGTTTTTAAAAGGCCACAAAAGACACACGCTAGACACCTACTAATAGCTCCAAAGTGGAAACTACCCAAATGTCCATCGTGAGTAGAASGAATAAATGAAATGTGTTCTCACAGTGGGCCATCCCACAGGCATGGGGGGGGATGAGGGATTGTCACCTGCCACAATACAGATGAACCTCACAACCACAGAGAGGGAAAGAGCACCAGGCACAGGAAAGAACAGACTGTGTGACATCATTCGAACCAAGTTCAAGGACCGGTGCAGCCACTCTGAGGCTGGATGGAGGGCTGGACGTCAGGAGGTGGTGATCCTGGGGTGGGGATGAGAGGGAGCTCAGGCGGGAGGACAGGAGCATTGTCCTGCACCCCCCAGTGTCACCGTACAATGGTTCAGTTGGTGAAAACTGACAAGCTGAACACTGTGGTCTGCCTTTAAAAATACAAGAGAGAGGGGCTGGGGCTGGGGCTCAGCGGTAGAGCGCTCGCCTGGCATGTGTGAGGCCCTGGGTCCGAGCCTCAGCACCACATAACAATAAATAAGTAAAATAAAGGAGCCATTGACAACTAAAAATACTAAAATAAATGCAAGAAAGAAGGACAAGGAAGGGAAGGAGGTCAGGAAGATGGAAGGGAGGGAGGGAGAGGGACTCCCTGAGAGTGGGGTCCGTGGGAGGGGAGGGACAGGCCAAGCCGGCCCTGGGTTGGGCAGCTCTGCCTTCCCAGCCGGGGATGGAGAGTGAGGTTCTGTTACAACAGCCTCAGTCTCTCCCCAGTGGTCTGGAGATGGTGATAACCACCATGTTCAATGAGGCAGCGTAGGGAACACACCAAGAACACAGCAGGTGCTCACTGAGTGCTGGTGCTGGAAGCTGCTCCGGGCACCTCTGGCGCTGACCGGCTGGGTAGGTCCAGGGCAGAGCCTGCAGGGCCTGGCTGTGTGCTCGCTGGTCCYGGAAGAGCAGTCATCAGTGAGGACAGGGAGGGCTCTGGGCGCCCTGCCAGGCAGGGGTGTCTGCTGAGGCGGTCGCTGCCCTTCACTATGGAAAAACTCCATCTTCATTATTGCCCTCAGCGCGGAGGAGGAGGTGAGCTCAGGGGCCCGGGACAGACTCTGCGTCAGGCACTGTGCCCACAGCATGGGGCCCAGGGACRCCCAGCCCCCATACAGCCGCAACCCGGCACTGAGGAAACAAGTGCAGGTTTCCTGGGGTCAGCCAGGCCAGGCCCAGACCTCTGGCTCTAAAACTTCAGAAAGGGAGGGGGTCAGCCTGGGTTGCATGGGTGACCTTGGCCCCAGCCACTTCTCCTCAGAAGGCTCCAGCCCCAGGCTCCCATCACTGACTCTGCTGCTCTTCCCTGGCCTGTGTGCGGTCGGGCACTCAGCCTTGCTGCTGTTCACCTCCTGTGTGCTGGGCCAGTCCTGGGCTGGGCTCTCCCTCTGTCCCTCTGCCACTGGGCTGCTGTGACTTCCTCCTCTTGATCTCCAGGTATTTGACCTTTCCACTGGGCAACTAATTCCCCACGTTAAATCCCCTCTTTTTATTATTATCGGAGTGAAATAAGACAGTCCTTAAAGAACACCTGCTATGGTCCTGTTTATGTAAAGTTTAAGAACAGCAGCCCCTCTCCACGGTGAGAGAAATCAGAGCGGTGGCTGTCTGCTCAGGGAGACTGCGACAGTCTGGACAGGGCCAGAGGGAGCTTCCTGGGATGRTGGGAATGTCTGCCACCTGGAGGGAGGTGTCGGTCACCTGGGCGAGCACATATGTAAGGGCCCCTTCAAGCATGAGCTGAAGACCTGTGCATTAACCAGGAGTGGATTATCTCTCAGTAGAATCAGCTTAATGAGAAAGCCCTGTTTACATATGGAGTGTTCTAATTTCCTCGTTGGATCTGGATGGAAACACCATTTTCTTAAAAAACAAATACAGAGAGACCATGAAGGAGGTTGTAAAATGTATATTCCTTTTTTTTTTTTTTTTTTACAATAAAACATGAGATGCCAAACAGAATTTCACACTTGGCTTAGTTTATTTCAGGCCATTCCTGAAATAAATGAGGGACCCTTCGTTCTCSCCACTTGTCTCAGTGTTGGGGAGCATTGGTCTACGCCAAGGGCTGAGCTCAATGATCACACATTGTGGGTGCTCACAAAGGTGGGTTCTTACTAAAGCAAAGTGGCTTCTGGCTTCTTCAGGACACAGTGATTTGGCCTCACGGTGCTCACAAACGATTCAGCCGCTGAATTCTCCCGGGATGGGGAGGGTGTTCTGCAAGCCCCACCCTCGGGTTCAGGCRTAGCCCCTCTATTCAGGGACAGTTCTGCAAAGCTCCAGGAAGACAGGAGGAGATCTCAGGACACCTGTGGACCACCTCCTTACCCTCCCCCATCGAAATGGCCAGCACCAGCTGCCAAAGCTAGACGGAGGCCATGGTGGTGCCACCCTGCCCARGGAAGCTGGGAGAAAGCTCGCCAGCGCTCCTGCTGACCAGGCGRTGCGCAGCGGGCACTAGACCAGAAGAGCCGGGAAGCCCTGGCCAGCCCCCGGCTGTGGGAGGAAGGGGCCTGGGCACRCGCCCTGGCCAAACCTCAGGTCCGGCTGGACCAGGCAGCTTGTGAATGTTCCCGTCCTCCTGGCCCCGGATGGTGGACCCAAGCTGGACTCATGCAGGTCAAAGGCATGGGTAAGGGCCATCTGCCGTCAGTGGTCTCTTGGGGACCGTGCACATCCATCTCCATTCCCAGCGGCTCTAGAAGGCGGTGTGCCCGGGTCGGYGGCTCCCRGCAGGCAGGCAGGGTCCYGGCAGGCACAGGCGGCGCTGGGTCTCCAGTTGGCAGAAGGCGTTCTGGTTGGACACTCGGGTGGCCACTCCCAGCCCACACGTGGTGGAGCAGGGGCCCCAGGCTGTGCTCCATTCTGGGCAGGGGATGCCAGGGGGTGCAGGAGCCATGAGGCCAGAAAACTGGGGTCCTGGGGGAGAGACAGCCAAGGGAGCACTGGAGGGGAGCTCAGAGCCCAGCACCGCCACTGGTCGCTGCCTCCCTGGTCACAGTGCTTGACTCCTCTGGGCCCCCGTTTCTGCTCATGTAAATTTCCTACCTGTTGATTGCTGGGATTTAATCAAATAATGGATGGGACGTGCTTGGCCAGGGCCTGGTCCTTGGAACCACCCCACAGACATCCGTTATTAAGCAGCTAGGGTGGTTCCCCAGTAAACTTTCTCCTCTCTGTAGTTSCCAACCTCTGCTGGTAAATGGCCTCTCACAGGCAGGAGGTGCCACCTGTGTGTGGGGGTGCTCATGGTTTAGCTTTTCCTCCCCTCCCTCCACGTTCCTGGAAAGGCAGAATTAACACTGACAAAATGGCAGCACTACCAAAACCGCTAKGCAGATGTAATGCAATTTCCATTAAAATCCCAATGACCTTCTTCATAGAAATAGCAAAAGCAGWCATGGAATTCACTTGGARATCTAAGAGGCCCAGARTAGCCAAAGCAAYCCTCAGCAAGAAGAGTGAATCAGGAGGCATCAAAACACCAGRGTTCAMATTATATTGCATATTAACACAATAACAAAACCAGCATGGCATTGGCACCARGACAGACAGGAAGACCGATGGAATGAACAGAAGCCACAGAGACAAACCCACAGATATACAGTTACCTCATACTAGACAGAGGTGCCATAAACATACCTTGGACAAAATATAGCCTCTTCAACAAATGGTGCTGGGAAAACTGGAAATCCACATGTAACAAAACGAAATTAGACCCCTACCTCTCACCCTGCACAAAACTCAAAGTGGATCAAGGACCTAGATCAGAGACCTGAGCCTACTAGSAGAAAAAGTAGGTCTGACTCTCCAYCCTGTTGGCTTAGGAGCCGACTTCCTAAACAAGACTCCTAAAGCGTAAGCAGTAAAATCAAGAATCAATAAATGAGATGGTATCAAACTAAAAACCCTCTTCACAGCAAACAAAACAATCAAGAATGCGAAAAGAGAGCCTATAGAATGGGAGAAATTCTTTGCCACCTGCGCCTCAGATAGAGCACTAATCCCCAGGATATATAAAGAAATCAAAAAAACTTAACACCAAAAAAACCAAGTAACCCAATCAATAATTGGGCAAAGGAACTGAACAGACACTTCACAGAAGAAGAAATACAATTGGTCAACAAATATATGAAAGAATGTCCAACATCACTAGCAATTAGAGAAATGCAAATTAAAACTACATGAGATTTCATCTCACTGCAGTCAGATGGCAATTACCAAGAATACAAGTAACAATAAATGTGGGCGAGGATGTGGGGGAAAATGTTCACTCAGACATTGCTGGTGGGACTGCAGATTGGTGCAACCACTGTGGAAAGCAGTGTGGAGATTCCTCAGAAACCTTGGAATGGAACCACCATTGACCCAGTTATCCYACTCCTCGGTTTATACCCAAAGACTTAAAATCAGTATACTCTAGTGACACAGCCACATCAATGTTTATAGCAGCTCCATTCACAATAGCTAAGCTAAGGAACAGAAGAATGGATAAAGAAAATGTGGAATTACTCAGCCATAAAGAATAATAAAATCTGGGCATTTGCTGGTAAATGGATGGAACTGGAGACTATTATACTAAGTGAAATAAGCCAGTCCCCAAAAAACAAAGGCCAATGTTCTCTCTAATATGTGGATGGTGACTCATATTAGGCGAGGAGTAAAGGGCAGGGGTGGAGGGTTTCATCTGATTGACAGTGTGGAGAGGGTGGAAGAGAGGGAGGATGGGGATGGGAAAGACAGTAGATGAATCGGACATGACTTTCCTAGGTTCATATAGGAGCACATGACGGGTGTGACTCCACATCATGTCCCACCACAAGGATGGGAAGTTACACTCCATGTATGTATGATATGTCAAAATACATTCTACTGTCATGTATAACTAAAAAAAAAACAATTTTAAAATTTTGAAAAAAAGAAAGAAATCTACATGTTCAGAACAGACCCAAATCAAAACAGATACTTTTAGTCCACAGATGGTTGACTCCATGGAGGCAGAGAGACAAGGTGTACGTGTGCTGGCTACGCACACAGGCCACACGTAGAGTGAGGTCCACCTGGAGGAGCGGTTTCTTACCCTGCCTCTGGCACAGGAGGTGAGCTCCCTGGCTTGAACCGATGAGGTGCATTTCACCCCAGGCTCCCCTCAGCCCCCGCTCTAGCCGCTCTGTGTGCTGGGGCCGTTTAAGGGCTCTGCTTGTGCTCCTTCATTTAGCCCTCACGACTCTACGAAGTGGCTGCTCCCGTTACCTCCCATTGCACAGATGGAGAGAGTGAGGCTGAGAAGTTAAGCAACCTTCAGAGCTGCACAGCGAGGAAGCGGTGGAGCTGGGTTTAGGGCTGGTACAGACTCCACAGCCTGAGCTCGCCACGCTGCATGCTTCTGCAGCGTGCAGCACCACTGTGGCACTGCCTGCCTCCCTTTTTGTAAAGCCACATTCATATAATGACTATATATATATATAAATAATTTTTTTTGCAGTGCTCGAGATGGAACCCAGGGCCTGTGCGTGCTGGGCAAGTGCCCCCCCCAACTGAGTTCCACCCCCAGCCCCAACAACCATAGGTTTTTAAAAAGCAACAAAACAAAAATAAAATCTCTAAAACTGAAGCGTTCATAGCAGGAGTAACTGTCTTTTCTYCGTCTCTGCCCGGCCGGAGGCCCACGTCCCAGAGACAGCCACCTTGCCTGGTTCAGTTGCAGTCCTTCTGAAGAGTCCAGATGGTGACGCACTGGTGATGTGCTGGTYGTGGGGGCTGCRGTATTTAAACATCATGTCCCTGTCATCCTGCATTCCTCTGCTGTGCACGGAGGATCGGCTCGGTGTCCTCCCCTCCTCCCCACCCCACTGGCCTCCTGACTTTTGTTTTCCATTCTGATTGTTTAAGACCCAGCACTTCTGGGCTCAGCCGAGCTTAGGGTGGCCTGGCGATTCTCCCTCCACTGTCTCCGCCTCTCCTGGTCCATCCCTCTCCGTTTCTGAAGTGTCCCTGTGTCCTAGCACGAAGCCCCCTCCCCTCCATGGCCTGAGCCATCCGGAGCTCACCTTGGCCCTGGAGGGGCTGGACGGCCCGCCCGGCCGCCTGGTCACACACCCACTCGGGGCAGCACTTGCCAGGGACCTCCACCCTCCTGGGGCGCGGGCAGTCCCAGCTGGGCAGGCGGACGTCCTCGCTGCACAGCGGCAGGCAGGTGAGGCCGCCGTCCTCACAGCGGCACAGGACCCTGCAGTGCGGCTGGAAGGTCTCSCCGTCCTGGTAGAGGCGGCCGTCCAGCTCGCAGCCCCCGTCGTCCTCTCCCACTGCAGAGGGAGGAGAAATAGGGCCCCGGTCACCCCAGCTCCGTGTGGCCCTTCCGCAAAGCTGCCAGGATCCCTGGGGAAGCCGTGCCCTCGGGGTGTGGCGCACGGCCCAGGGCTCCATCCCAGCCACGTGCACGGGCCCCACCAGCCCCCACCGTCCCTGAGGCAGGACACTGGGACCCTGWACAGGGTGTGCCAGATGACCAGCCAGGCTTAGAGCTCAGCCTGCCCTTTCTGAGCTGTGGACCAAGTGATTTCACTTCTCCTTGCCTTAGTTTACCCATCTGCAAATWGGAATCCCGTGGTACTTATTTCACAAGGTGGTATAGACCAAGTGAATTGATGTAGGAAATGAATCCAACAAAAAGGAGACGGTCAGCGGGTCCTGGCTACTGTGTTGTTATCCTGAGTAGACGTAGATTAGTACACACTCAGGGACTTTATGCAACCATCTCATTGTCCTGCTGCRTTGCAGTCACCACTGTCACATCAGGGCTTAACGTGCTGGCTGTGTGACTCTGGGTCACTTACTTAACTTCCCTGAGTAACCTGAATAATTGCAGTGATGAGAACAGTCATTTGTACCTTCAGGCCACATGGATAATAAGTAGTAGCACAATGAAAGGCTTATAGTAGGCGCCTAGGAGACCGAGAAGTATGCCCTTGAGATATGGGTTTCACTACCACTTCCTCCACCCACGCAAGCTCCTGAGGGCTGGAGCACGAGTGTTCCTCCTGGGGTCCCCCAGGGCTGGCTGARAGCCTGGCTGGGACAGAAGACCCTCAGGTGCCCTTTGAAATGTCTGGCCAAGGCTCAGCCTGTGACAGGCTCCGACTGAACAGTTCCAGCGCCCCAGCGTTCCAGCGATGGCTGCTGTGCTGCTGTGGGTGCCCTGCTCCTAGCTGGGAATGAGACACAGTGTACCTCAGTGACTGGAGGGACCCCAAGCTAGCGGAAGACCAGCAGCAAAGTCACCTGGAAAGGTATGCAGCTGTCCGGGGGCAAAGAAACAGGTGTGGGTGGGGGGAGGCTCCCTGGAGACCTGGGTGACCGTCCAGTGGGTCTGGGGCAAGGGCTCCCTGGCAGCAGGCCTCCAGGTCTAGTGAGAGAAACCTCAACAGACCTCAGACACGGAGGGCTGAGGACCCACAAGGACTTGGACCCACACTGGGGACCCAGCGCCAAGTTACTTGGCCTCTCTGAGCCTTGGTGCTGCCGCAGGGCCCTGGCAGGTAAAGTGAGCGAGCGCCCAGTGAGTATCTCAGGCCCAGCCTGGCGCAGAGGCGCTCCATCAGGGGCGGGGGCCGCTTATCGTTCCGGGAAGGCCAAGACCCGGGCCAGCTCCCTCTCCCGGCTCAGGCCTCAGTCCTTTGGCTCCAAGTCCCTGACCCTTKGGCCTGGACCATGTGGCTGCTGGCTCCCTGGAACCCACAGGGGCAGCTGCACCTTAATCCCCACCCTGGCCTGGCCAAGCCCAGAGCTCCAGCCTGGCGCCTGCTGCCGCTGCCCGGGGGCCTCGGGGTCCCCAGGATGACCTGCAAACAGAGGGCTGTTAGGAACATCAGCCGGGGGGAGGATTTAGCCCAGTTTCTCAGCCCTCCCTGGTCATCAGCTTGGAGACGGGGGTCAGGCAGCCATCCCTCAGCGGCCACTCCCACGTCAGGGACTGTGTGTTATCTGTTTGTGCTCCCAGATGTCACCAGGCACCTCCCAACTTAGCACACTTGGAATTCCCCTGCCTGGCCACACACCTCCCGCTGCCAAAGCCCTCCTCCTCCTCCTCCTCCTCCTCCTCCTCCTCCTCCCNCCTCCTCCTCCTCCTCCTCCTCCTCCTCCTCCTCCTCCCAGGTCCTCTCCAATGTCCCCTTCTCCAGGAACCTCCCACAAATGACGCCTTCCCCCAGGCACAGACCAGTCCTGCCCTCTGGGGACTCTGTGCCCTCCTCTGCTCTCTTTCTGTTTTACCTTCAGTCACAAATTGTGGCCTAGGCAGGTGACTTRACCCAGTTCCCTCATCTGCAAAACAGGGGTAACAGAATCCACCTCCCTGTTCAGGAGAAGGTGAAACTGTGTCCATAAAGGCTCGGACTCAGATGGAGGCCACCAGCTCCCAGCCTCTAAAYTGGGTGCAAATCATGAAAACTCATGAGCATCACCATGTTGCCGGACCAGGGCTGGGAATGGCAGGAAGGAGCAGAGACCAAGTAGATTCTGGCTGCAGGTGTTTGAAGCCTGAATCAAGAGTGGGTGAGGAGAGCCCTTAGTGAAGTTGTTGACAGTACCAGCCACTATGCACTCATTGTGTGCCGTTGAGCAGAAGAGTGTGGGAGCCTAAGATCACGGAACCAGATCTCCGAGTTCAAATCCCAGTTGGCCATTATGAGCTCTGTGACGTTGGGCAGGTTGATCAACCCCTCTGTGCCTCTTTTTTCCATCTATTAATACCAACTTCAAAAGGCTATTGTGAGATTAAGGGAGTTGATATTTGTGAAGCCTGGCACGTGGTCAGGGTTACGCATAGAGAATCTAAATAATAGCCGTGGAAGCTAAGTGTCACATCTCTCAGTTTTTCTTGAGGCACGTTTTCATTAGCGATCCTCTGTGAGTTTAACCGATCATCCCTTTCTCCTTCTTTCCTCCTCCTGCCGAAGGGAACATTTAACAAGGATTCACTGATGCTAAATTTCTGTCTATAAGTTTTGTTTTATTGGTTTTTAGTAAGGCTTTTTCTACAGATGGATTCATTGTCAATGATTCACGAGTCTCCCTTCCTCTCCTCTCTCTCTCTCTTTATTTTTACAAAAGTATGAGATGCACGTGAACGAAAGAGGCAAATCCTTCTCCAGGCCCTTATCATTTTTAAAAACCTCTGACCTCTTTCTATTTCCCYGAAGGAGTGGTTCTCCACAGGGGATAATCGTGCCCTGGGGGCACTTGGCATCCTCTGAACCCAGCTGTCAATTTGAGAGGGCAGGGAGGGCTGCTGTGGCGTCCAGCAGGTGGAGCCCAGGGAGGCTGCTAGTGTCCCCCCATGCACAGGACAGCCCCCTGCAACAGGGACAGCCCAGCCTGGGTAGGGTGCCATCAGAACAAGGCTGCACCCCCTGGCCTGCAGTGCCGGCGGGTGCCAGGCCTGGTCCTGCTCCAGGTCGCTGCGGAAGGGCACAGCCAGGGCACAGCCAGGACTGTGGCCCAGGAGGAGGACGGGAGGSAGCATGGCTTAGATCTGTTTGCAAAGGCCCCAGCTGAGTGACGTGAAGCGTGTCTGCTAGCATCTCTGGGCCTCAGTTCCTCGTTTATAAAATGGGTCTGAAAGGACCCCCTGTCCCCTGCCTCACTGGGAGGATGGTGACTTGTGCGGCAAGTGCTCCACACGGTGCCCGACACTGCCCTAAATAAGGGGCTGCGTCTTACTTCCCCAGTGTCATTAGGACTCTCGGAAGAGGACAGCGGCTTCTGGGCTGCAGAGTCTGGGAGGCTTCCCGGGCAGGCTGGGCTTTGAAGGCTGGCTACGATTTGGGCAGGTAAAGCCTGAGAGGGGTCTTCAGGTGGGCAGGCCAAGGGAGGTCAAGGAGGGCAGGAGGAAGTGGGCCCAGGGAATGGTGGAGGGTCCCAGGTCCAGCTGGCTGGACGGTGCACCTGCAGCGAGGCTGTAAGGAGGACGAGGGGGAGGGCTCTCTCCGACTCAGGCCCGTGGCCTTGACCTCCCCCCACATCCTCTGTGAGTCCCGCAAACCTGCTTACAGAGGCACACTGCCCCTCGGCCGCTGGGGCCCGTCCCAGGCTGGCAGACCAGGCCCTGGCTGGAGTCGCAGACGTGGAGGTGGTCGCAGGGYTCCCCCAGGCGCCGGGCACAGACCCGGCAGCAGCCACAGCCATCCAGCACGAGAGGCACCCCCAGCGGGCATCGGGGTGGTGGCCAGGGACAGGCACAAGGTGTCGGGCACAGCTGGGCACACACCTGAAGAGACAGAAACCTTGCTCAGCCCCGAGGTAGACAATGAGAACCTCCTACTGGCCACCTCTCTGCCAGGCTGATCAGGCTGGGGTCCAGGCCTTGGCCTCAGAGTCAGTAGACCCGACCTTGAACCCCAGCATTCTCCAGGCACTCCCTAAGAGGCAGTGTGGCATGGTGGTCAAGAGCAAGAGCTCTGCCCCTTATCAGCTGAGTGACCCTGGGAAAGGTACCAAGCTCTCTGAGCCTGGGTTTCCTCCCCTGTGCAATGAGACCAATGGTAATATCCGACTCAGAGGCTGGCCGTGAGGAATGCCTGAAATGACTCAAGTCAGACCTGTAGCACATCATAGGAGCTCAATGCATTTAGCTCCATCATMATCTTTGTTAATTACAATAACAGGCTTTGCCCCTGCCCTCTATGAGCAAACAGGAATGCATGAGCGACACCCCCAGGATTAAACCGCAGAAGTCAAGGCACATTTTCCAGCACGTGGATACTTCGCTTGAAGGCTGATTAACTCAAAAAGTACCATGAACACTTTTGGTCTTTGAAACAATCCAAGTATGTTTCCCAACCCTGAATGCACATCATACCAGCCAAGAAACTCCTAAGACCCCTCTGAGTCTTAGCAGATCAGAAGCCCCAGTGGCAGGACCCTGGAATCTGTACATTTGACAAGCTGCCCAGGGCTTCCAGAGCACAGGTAGGTTTTCAGCCCCTTTGCCCTGGGCTAACCCCCACCCCACCGGGTACAGATGGGGAAGCTGAGCTTCAGAAAGGGGAAGGGACTCTCCAAAAGCCAGAGTGTCCACTGCAGGGCTGGGGTCAGGCCCAACTCTGCTTCTCCCATGTGGACCTAGAAACCCAGTTTGGTAGGYGTTTCCTGTGGTAGGGAAACCCCGGGCCAGGGACCCCCGCGCCAGTGGCAGGCTCAAGGTATCAACCCAAGTGACCCAACTGCCCCTTCCCACCCAGGACAAAGAAACACCCAGACCACAAGCCAGATGCCAAGTGCTCCCTGCATGTGCCTTTGAAGGTGGGGACCAAGAGGTAGGCCTAGCTCAAGGTGTCCCCCGAGGGGCTGGGGCTGAGGCTCAGTSGTGGAGCGCTTGCCTAGCACCTGTGAGGCCCTGGGTTCGATCCTCAGCACCACATGTAAATAAATGAATAAAATAAAGGTCCATCAACAGCTGCGTCCCTTCTGTGGGGATTGATCCTCTGCAGACTTTGTGRGGACTAGAGGGGATTTTCCAGAGGAGGGAAGATTTGCAGTTTGGACTAAGAAAACGAATGATGTCACATCTCTCTTGTGACCCAAAGCAGGCAATGAYCAGGTCACCCTATTCCCTACCCTGACCCTCCCCTGGGGCCCCAGGCTTTCGTTGCTTGCAGCTCCCACCCTGACCGGCAGGGGCCACCTAGGCTGGCTGGCCAGCCTCTGGCTTGGGTGGCAGAGGAGGCAGAACTTCGGATTCTAGAGGAGGGGCCTCGCCTCGTCCCTCCAGGTGGTCTGGCCCAGTAGCACAGCCTCCCCTGGGAGCTCATCAGAAATGAGCATCTGGGGCTGGGCTGGGCTCCGGGGCAGAGCGCTCGCCTAGCATGTGTGAGGCCCTGGGTTCGATCCTCAGCACCACATAGAAATAAATAAACAAAATAAAGGTATTGTGTCCATCTGCATCTAAAAAATAAATAAAATAAAAAAGGAATGAGCGTCTGGACCTTCTTGATCATCTGAGTCGGGGCTGATGAACCCAGAGGTGATGCATACAGAATTGATCAGAGAAGAAAAAGGCTGACTTTGGAGTCTCCAAACCAGAGGCCCACTCCTTTTGTTGTGGATGGTGGGGACACGGATCAGAATTGGCTCCTGCATCCCTTCACTCGAAAATAAGGGTGCCAAGAGTCAGCCTTCTACTGAGCACCGGGCCCCTCTGTGGGCTCCCTCTACCCAGCCAGCTCTGCGGCCTTCTGCAGGCCCTGAGACCCGGGGGAACCTGTTAATGACGTCAGTGACCACAGCTCACTACCACCTGCCACACCACACGTGCCACCTGGGAGGCGTCACTGTGTCATCTGATCTGACCCTCCAGTGAACTGCCATTCGCATGTCCATCTGAAAGATGAGGAAATRGTCAGCCAAGTAGTGGAACCAGGACCATCCTCCAGGCTCGTGGAATCCAAGATCCGAGCTCTCAGAACCTCTAGGGACTCAGATGCCAGCTTAGCCTCTATTTGTTCAAGAAGGATACGTCAGGAGGATGTTTTGGCACAGCCACGGAAGGACGTGCCCTTGCTGGCATTCCTCAGGACCCACCCCATCCACTCTGGCCCTAACTTCCAGTCGTCTGGTCACTCCAGGTGTGCCCAGAGCCTTGCGTGGCTACCCGAGGGTACTGGGTCTACTTCCTGCCTTGACTTACAGTAAGTAGCCTGGCTGCTTTGTGACCTGGAGGTGGAACTCAGTCTCCTCCCCCATGGGTGGACAGAGACCATTTCTCCTGAGTGATTAAGTGAGGTCGTGGTCAGCTCCTCCACAGGACCCTGCTTGTTTCCAGGTCTCTCTGCCTCCTGCCCGTATTCCCAGCCTGGAGCCCAGGAGCCCACGCCTGCCTGGAGAACTTGGAATTCTGTTTCTGTGGGTGCTTGTGGCTTCACACGTTGGCCGTGGCCAAGTCCCTGGGTCTCTCTGCAGGATGCTCAGTGGTTTCCCAGGACAGGGAAGAAGCCCGCGTGCAGCGCGACCAGGAGAGTTACCTTGGTTTTCGTAATCCCGGGCCCTGCTCCAACTACCCAAACCACATGCCCTGGTATCATGTCCCCATCCCCTTGGGGAGAGCCAGCAGCCAACCCGGGATACTGGTGAGACTGCTCCGGCCTGGGAGGAGAAGCTGCCACCCCCCATGTGCCTCCAAGGAGCATAAAAATACACCAAGATCTCGGCTCCTCAGGGACCAACCTCCCTGGCTCCAAGAATTCAGCATTTGCTGAGGGGGTGACCCAGCTTGGCAGCTGTGGCACTGGACAGGTTAAGGTGGGAGGCTCAGGCTGGGACCCCACTTCACGTACCCCCAGGCCTGTCTGGCCCCACTGCACCATTTTCTTCTACTCTCCTGTTTCTTTGCTCTGTGGCTCTGGGCACTTGCTTCTCCTCTCTGAGCCTCACTGGATTGAAATGGGGGCTATAATCCCTTCTGGGATTGTTATGCACATTAGGCAAAGTGGGTGGCCCACAGCCCTGTGGAAAGGCACAGAGGGAGGAGGGATCACAGAGGGGTCCCTGGGCCTCTCCAGCAGCCAACCCCCACCTGAGCGCCCCGCAGCCCAGTGTCTTCTCATTGTAGACTTTCCGGTCAGTTAGACTCCAGCGTCCATCCCAGCCCTGGCCTGGACATAGGTAAAGCTCCTCCTGTCTAGAATGCCCTGTCTTTGAAGAGGCGTTGTGGGGACTGGTACTGATCACTGGAGGTGTCTTCTGAACACTCCTGGGGTCCCAGGGCCTGAGCTCAGTGTTGGAGGAGGTTGTCACGAGTGGTCTCCTCGGAGGCCTCATGAGCCTCATGCCCATTCAACGGAGGCAGAAGCTGAGGCTCAGACTAGAACAAGGACTTGCTTGAGGTCCCACAGCAGAGCTAGAGAAGCCATGTCTGGGACCAGGCGGGGAGCTGGGCTTGGCACAGAGGCCACACTGTGCCCCTGGTCAGCTGCGGGGCTCAGGCTGTACACCTACACCCACCCCCACACTGAGGAAGTCAGGGTGCATTCGGGGCCCGGCCCCCTTACCTTTGAGAGCAGGCAGAGGAGGGAGAAGGCCAGGAGCTGGGTCTGAGCTGTGCCTCTCATGTCCCTGCGCCCCGCGGAGCCAGCTTGGAGCCTGGGAGACAGGACCTGTGAGTCTTTATGTTCCGGCGGCTGTGAGGTCACTCCCAGGCACACACACACACACACACACACACACACACACACACACACACTCACGCTGGCCTGTTCATTCCTTGCCCCTCTCCCCATCCTCACCGTCCCCATGATGAGCCCATTTACCTGAGTGTGAGACCGTGGAGACCACCACAGGGTGCCTGCCAGTGCGTGTGTGTGTGTGTGTGTGTGCGTGTAGCCAGAGGCAGTGCCCACGCCAAGAGCCTGTGACAGGCTGGCGGGCCCTCGATAGCTCCTTCCAGCACAAGTACGTTAGCTCAGGCTGCTGCCATAGCTGCTCCAGCCCTGCTCACAGCCCCTGCCCCACCCAGGGGGCCGTCGATACCAGAAGCGTCCAGCCAACACCCCCTTTGCAGACCTGACCCCAGCCCTCCTCAGCCCCGTGGCTGGGACTCTGGGCAGCCCCAGCCCGGCCTGCGGTTTCTGGCAGGGAGATTGGCAGCCACCCAGAGGTGGGTGTGACCCAGAGCAGAACTTCCTTGGCGGCCTCTCTGTTCTTGGCAACAGGGTGCCGCCCCAGGCCTCCTTCCCRGGCTCTGGAAGGTGGCCTGCCCCTGGTGGAAGAGCCTGGGCAGGCTGGGCCTACTGTGTGCTAGTACTTGCTGAGCCCTGCTGCAGGATCTGCTCAAACCAAAGCCATCCTGTTTGATCTGGTCACCGGAGCCTCCTGCTGGGGCTGGACCAGAGGGGGAGACAGTGGGAAACTGCGAGATTCCTGGGAATACTGAGGGGGGTCCCTTGATCAGACCAAGAGTGAGGAACAGCTTTCAGAGAACCAAGAAAAGGAAGGGCTAAGGAGGCAGAATATTCCAAACACACATCCAGGTGCCTGGAGGTGGGTGCAGCCTGCCAGCCGTGCCTCTTCTGGAGCCGAAGGGGCCTGGGGGGACTGCACCTTCCTGTGCAGGGGGATGTCTGCGGAGACTAACACACACCCCCAAGACTGTGGGGACATCTGCAATGTTCTAGCCACCGAGAGCAGGGGACAAAAAGACACAGGCTTGGTAATAATGGTAAATAAAAAATAATGGCTGGGGAAGGTATGGTCCCCATCATCTCCACCAGTATTCCAAATCTCAGAGCAATTATGCCAGAGAGCAGAAGGTTCTAGAATGGCCAGCGGATGAGGAAGAAGAGTGACTTGCTGTAGGGGTTGGGAGGAGAGGCTGAAGGTGAGGACCCAGGATTTGACCTTGGCAGGCGGGAGGCAGTGGTGAGAGGTTCCGAGAAATGAAGGAAGGTAGGATTTGAGGGTCTTGTGTTTGAAAACTGACGTTCAGAGGCATGGCTAGAATATCTTACACCCAAATGGGTCATTCTGCTTACTCCTCCTCCTTCATACAACAAAATGATTTCCAGTGCTCTTCATGGAATGAACCAGATACATTTCACACTTGAGAGATTCCAAACTGTTAGGAACTTTCTTGGTCCATGAAGGTGTGACTCTGAGTCCACATGCCCTGGGGGCAATTCTAACACCATTTTTTTAAGTTAAAGGATAAGAATTCATTAAACTTTTATTAAAGTTTATTAAAGGATAAGAATGAAAATGTGTAATTTGATGCTTACATGGGTATCATTAAAATCCAACAGTTACCGCCACAGTGGTTTAGAACTTAGGCCCCTAGATCACTGACGTTATTCGGTTTGCTGGCACAGATGTGAGGAGCAGACTGACTTCTGTCAACTCTTCTTCTCTCTCAGTTCTCTGCCCACTCCCTAATGGCCTGCACCCCAGAAAGACCACTCCCACCTTTGTGTCCTTTGTGTCTAAGGTCATTGATTGGTTTTCCCTGAGAGGCCCCGTGRTGAACGACTTGTCTCGGAGCCAAGAGGACAGTTAGGAGGTGTGAGGAGGAGGGCGGGTCAGGGCTGCGTCACCTGCTCCACGCACTCTCTCCGTCAGCCGTGGCTGCTGTGTGGAGGGCTCCAGCCAGCAACGCGCTGCCCGCCTGTGCGGGAGGCAGCCGGGGAGGAGCCAGGCACTGCTCCAGCTTGGAGGGCCCTCTAGGCCAGGGCAAGGGCTTTTCTTGGAAGTTTTTCTCTCTAATAACCAAGAATGGAAGAATGTGGGCRGCAGAGGCCTTGGGGCCTGGCCAGGTCAGGAAGCACGTGGGCAGWGTCAAGGGTGAGAAATGGTGAGGGATCAACCCAGGCACAGCTCAAAGGACAGGCTGTGTCAGGAATGCCACTCCACTGACTGGTTAGCAGTGACTCAGCTCCCTAAATTGCCACATTTGGCACCAGAGGGATGTAAGGGAACCCATGAATTTGGGGTTGCTACTACAGCCTCCATCTCCAAAATAATACCCCCAAACAAATGTGGCTACCCTTTGCTTAACCAAAAGGAAACACAGGCTCATAAGCCCAAAGGTTCCTGGTTCAAATCCCAGCTCCCCTGTGGACTTGCAGGGCTGGGACTTGGGTGAGGTTATATGGTGCTTAGATGCAAAATTCAAGGAGACTGTCAATGTCGAGGGCACCTGTGCTACCCCAAGCTTAAGCATCTCCTCATGCATGAAGTGTCCAGGGCGCAGAATGAGTCTGTGCTTAAGAACTGAGTCAAGCCCCGTGCGGTGGCGCATGCCTATAATCCAAGGGGCTCAGGAGTCTGAAGCTGGAGGATCACRAGTTCAAAGCCAGCCTCAGCAACTTAGCAGGCCCCCCCCAAGAATCTCAGGGAGACCCTGTCTCTGAATAAAAAAAAGGGCTGGGGATGTGGCTCAGTGGTTAAGTGCCCCTGGGTTCAATTCTCAATACAAAAAAAAAAAAAAAAAAGAAAGAAAGAAAGAAAGAAAAGAAAGCTGAGATGGGTTGACTGACTAAATGACAATTCCTTATTTCAAAGTATTCATCAGGTACATTAGGCTGTGTTGAGGCCACAAATACAGCCCAAATCTGTGTCTTAACTCAAGGAAGGCTTACTTCTTGCTCAGTTTGATGGGGGATGGCGGTTCTTCAGCTTCAGCATCAGCCTGGGCTCACCCTGCTYGAGGACCAACAGCATCAAGTGTCACCCAGCTGCTTATTTGGAATGGAGGTGCTCAGGCTCCACCCCAGAAGGAACACCTTCCTTTTGATACAACCCCCAGGAGATGCACAGGCGCAGCCGTTTGTGAATTCCTGTTCTGGACCAGAAGCCACCAAGGTCATCTTGGTGGCAGGGAAAAAGAGATTTCATTGGCCAGAACTAGTCACATGACTTCAGTTTAGGTGCCAGGGAGRCTGTGTTTCTGTGTTTGAAGAGGGATCAGAGTGAGGGACAGAATATCCTCTGCCACAGGTACCAAAACAGCACACCTGGCTCGGGGCCCAGCCCTGGAAGCCAGGGGAAGTCCCGCAGTAGAGGGGAAAACACAGATGGCTTGGGCCAGCGGCAGTGTGGGTCCCTGCTCACCTTCTCAGAGTGTGCCCCGCAGCACTTCACCACATTCCGTGTGTGAGGCTGGGCAGGTGGAGAGGCGTCCACAGGTGGTGGAGCCCACAGTGAGGTCAGAGGATCCAGAAACAGGCCCTGAGCCAGGCTGGGCTGGGAGCGAGAGGAGCACCACTCTGTGACTGGACATAGAGCGMGAGAGAGGACGCCGTGCTGTGGAGGGCCCACGGTCAGTCCCAAGAAACCCCCAACTCTGCTGCTGATTTGCTCCGAGCCCCAGTTCCCCTTTCAGAGACCAGGACTGAAGCAGGACGGAGAGGCTGGGCACCTCAGGGATCTTCAGGAGGCAGGTTTATTGACTGCTGTCGCCTCCGATTCTCTGAATAAAGATTCTGGAAATTCTTTGAACTTTGTCCCCAGTGGGGGAGGGGTAACTGGAAGTTCAYATAACGAGTGCCCCCTGTTGGTCCTCTCCACCAGACACAGGCTCACAAGTTTCTACGGAGATGAGATCTTTTTGTACARCCAGCTTGCAGACTAAGTCTGTCACACCCTCTGGGTGCAAACCGGGCTTGAGGGTGGCAGGGGTCCTTGGGCCAGGGGTCCCTGGTCTGCGTCAGGATCTGCAGCAGAGCCTCATCAGAGCCCATCCCTCTGTCCTCCTCTGCCTCCTTCTGTCGTTACCGAGCACTGGTTACTTGGGGTGGTGATGTCCTCGGCTTTGCCCCGAGGTGTGGCCATGTGGCGAGAGTCCAGCCATGAGGCACAAACGAAAGTGTTGTGTGCAGATTCCGGGATGGCTCCTTGGAAGGAAGGACTTCCCTCTGGTCCCACTCCCTCCACTTCTTGCTTCCTTCTGCTTCTAGTAAGGAATGCAGTTGTGAAGGTGGAGTTGGGCAGCCACCTTGGACCAAGAGGGTGCCTTGGAGATGGGCCTCATGGGCACAGGAGGGTCAAACGAAGATAAACAGTGGACTGGGACTCTCGTGACACCCAGAGCTGCCATGCCCACCTTGGACTCTGCTTGCAGATTTCATTCACATTCACGAATTAAAAACACAGGTTAAGGGGCCAGGGCTGTGGCTCAGTGGCAGAGCGCTTGCCRAGCATGCATGAGGCACTGCGTGCAATCCCAGGCACCACATTAAAAAAATGAATAAATAAAATAAAATAGAAGTATCGTGTCCATCTACAACTAAAATTTTTTTTTAAAAAAAACCACAGGTTAAAAACATGTGGTACATATCCACAATGGAGTTTAACTCAGCCATAAAGAAAAATAAAACTATGTCATTTGCAGGAAAATGGATGGAACTTGAGAACACTATGGTAAGCAAAATTAGTCAAACGCAGGGGATCGAGGTCACATGCTTTCTCTATGTGGGAGCCAGACAGCAAAAGGGAAGGACAGTTTGCAGCAGGGTGGGGGGTGGGGGGGGTCTCATGAAAATTGAAGGGAGATCAGCAGAGGAGAGGAGAGGGACGGGGAGAGGGAGGGGAGGGAGGAGAGGGAGGAAGGCGGCATTGARTGCTGTAAGGATACCGAACGACAAATCCCGCCATTATGTGTAATTACAATGCACCAATAAAAATATGGCAAAGACAAAAACAGAAACAGAGCCCCACAGGTTGTCATTGCTGAAGTAAAGGTGTCGCTGACTGTGGCTGAACTCCGTCTCTCGTTAGTTCTCATCTCTGTCCATGTCTTGGGCTAGCTCAGGGTGGAGGGCCACCCCACCTCCAGGACATCTTCCCTTCTGAGCATGGCCCTGCTCACRATCTTCGATGGCTTCCTCTGGCTCGCTGCTGGCCCTGGGCCTTGAACTGCAGCAGGCCAGCTGCTCCCATTCCTGGTCTTACAAGGTGCATAGGGCTTCCCCACCAGGGAGTTTTCTATAGTTTTAAAATCTCTACCACATTCAGGAACTTTTCTTATGCTCCCGGTTTGCCAAAAACAAAAATAAAACAAAACCCACCAATAT